CCTTCCTGCCTCTTCCAGCTTCTGGGGCTCCAGGCGTCCCTGCGCTCGTGGGCCCATCCTTCTCATCTCTGCCTCTGCCTTCACATGGCTTCTCCTCTGTCCGTGTGTCCCCTTCCGTCTCTTACAAGGCCACCGGTCATTGGATTCAGGGCCCCCCTCATCCAGGATGGGCTCATCTCAGATCCTTCACTTACTCCCATCTGCAGACGCCCTGTTTCCGAATGACTTCCTGTTCGCATGTTCCCGGTGGATGTGAATTCGGGGGGTGGGAAGGGACTCCGATCCTGCTGCTACAGGGACCGACCAGGATGCCTTAGCTCTGTTGTCTTCTTTGGCACAGACATTTCCTCATTTCATAAGAAGTTGCTTCATTTTCTCCGCAGCTCTTCCAATATGTTCCCAAACCCTCGGGTAGATTTGCCAACACGTTGCGATACTGTTTCCAAACCCTGGGACGCGTGATAGAACTCATCTGGGCCCCCGTCTCTCAGTGTCCGGCCCCCCGGGGCCTGTCCCCACCCCTCCTCCGTCCCCGCCTGGGCCGCCACCTGGGGCCCCCACCTTGTCCCGCGCCCGAGCAGCTCTGGTGACCGATTCCGGGCCGTCTGTCTCTCCTTCCCCCCAGATCGTCTCCAGGAGCCTCCTCGGAATGGCAGGGGTGGGCTTCAGGCACATCGAGTCCACAAACGTCTGTGGGACTTTTCCACGTCCACACGTGTGACCCAGGAATGTGGGCGTCTGTGCAAATAGGTTTCCCGCGAACTTATCACACGGCCACGCTGCTCTTGAGGGACCCTGGGTGCTTCTGGTGCCAGTTCCTGGTGTGTGACTGCATTTCCACACACGCTGGTCCCTGGGTCCCCAGCATCCTGAAACACCGGCTTGTGCCCCATACGGGATGGGTGGTTTCCCAGCTTCCTGCTCACGGGGCCCGGTGCTGAGCCAGGAGCCACAGATAAGCAGAGACGGGCTTCCCGGGTCTGCAGGGCATCAGCGCCCTCCAGGGGAGGGGCTGCGTACGGGGGCAGTGGGGCCATGGCTCATGTTACCACTCGTTGGGGCGGGGCCACAGGGCCCAGATCATCATTGAGCATCATTCCGCGTGGTCCTGTGAAGGTGCCTTTTGGATGAGATTATCATCTAAATGTGCGACCTGGGGCAAAACAGCTGGCCCTCCGTGGCGTGGGTGGGCCTCGTCTAATCAGTTGAAGGCCTCGAGAGAAAACACACCGCCGTCCCCCCCCCCCCCCCCCCCCCAGGAGGAGGGAATTCTGCCTCCAGCCAGTGTTGGGACTAGTCCCAGGTCTCCGGCTGCCTGCAGATTTGGGGAGTCCCAACCTACACGATTGCACTTGACCCTTGCTTCGCTCTTTGTGCAAAATACGAGACCAAAAATGACGGTTGTTTCCGGCAAACTGGAAAGTGAACTGCTGTTTCGTGTTCCCTAACCGCACGGGGAGGTAACAGAAGCGTCTTACACGTCACCAGGCGCTCGGGGCACGGGGATACGAGCTGCGCTTTGCGCCACTGGGACCTCGGAGGCCTGGGAAGGGGCCCCCGGGCGGGGGTTGGATATGCCCTGCTCCAGGCCCCCTGGGACACAGGCTGGGGAGTCCGGCAAATCTCCGGCCGGAGAACACAGATGCCGGCACTTCCTGGGGCCAGGACTGGGAGACTCGGGTGAGAAGGTCCCAAAGCTGCGGCCGCCCTCCTGGCGCCTCCTGCACGTCCGCAGGGG